AGAGCTTTTTGGAGTCCTCCACGAGAACCAAAGGAGAACCACTTTCTGGGTTGGTGAGTAAACGTGTCGGAGCAGGTCTGGGCCTCACTCGATAGAGAGAGCCCGTGTGTGCCAGGCCTCCTGCTCCAGACTGCCCCAAGTGGGCCTTCATCTGGACGGCAAGGTCAGGACACCCCACCGAGGCGGCACCTCCCATCTGGCTCGCGAACAATTTGGCTGTTGTTGATAATGCTGCTACAAGCATCGGGGTGCATGTATCTTTTTCTAATTAGTGTTCTCATTTTGGGGGGTAAATACCCAGTGGTGCAATTGCTGGGCCGTAGGGTAGCTCTATTTTTAACTTTTTGAGGACCCTCCATACTGTTCTCCAGAGCACCTCAGAACTGCCCAGCTGAGCCCCACGAGCCCAAGAAAACATGGCTTCTGTCGTAAGCAGTAACGGCCTTATCTCAGGCCAACACCTACCCCTCCCCTCTTCCTTCATCATCACCCTGGATGTTAGCTGTGTCCCTCGAAACAGCCTCTCGTCGGCTTTCGCTCCTTTCACCAGCATGACAACCTTTTAAAAAGCATTTAGCCACTTAGAATTATTAGTACATTTGGGTCCGGACAGACCACCTTACTCCTTATTCTGATTTTCATTTTTTCAATCAATCCATTCTCCTGGGCACTCTAGATTCCACGACATGCCTTCCTGACCCTCGCCTTCTCCCTCAACGACGTGAGAACCTCCAGGTTGCGGTCATCATGGGGCTGGAGTTTACCTAGCGACTGGACAAGACAGTGGTTGTGCAGCTTTGCTCAGTGGTACGACCTCACCCTGACCTCACCTGTCTTCCATCACCTTGCCTGGCCTTCGCTGCTTCACCCAAGCCCAACTTCCTTCACTGAATACGCTGGGATTCTCTCCTGTTTGGGTTGCTGGTAAGTTTTCCGACATACTGTTCTGGCTTCGTCAGAAAGTTTTTGTGTCTTCAAGGATGTTGCTGGTTGAGGTTTTCTGCCATCACTGTGAACACCCCAGTCTCCTGGCTGCCATTGTCTACACAGATTAGCTTTCACTGGGAGGCTAAGTCGTCTACAGGTTTTTGTCATGCTTGAGGCTCTTCAATCTTCGGACGCTATTCCTTCAGCAGGTCCGTGAAGGTGCCGCCCCACCACAGCCCCACGCCACCATGCGAATCATCACATGGTGTACCCCAACGGCAGCCATCCCCCTCCTGCCCCCGGGGTCTCTCGATCTGCTTCTGTCATCACACTCACGGAGTTCCTACTGTAGCTACTGGAGGTCCCGGCTCTGGACCTGGTTCTCTTCAGTTCTCTGCTGGAATTCTCCATCTCAACGCTCCTCTCTCTGGATATGCTAAGTAGAGTTAAAGTGTCTTAGTCCCTCCCACATCTCAACGACTCTTCTCAGGGGCTGGCTCAGGGTGCCGGTTCTGTGGGAGAAGCGCAGTGAATCTAACAGCCTCTAACCCGAGTCTGTTTCTCAGATCTTCTCTTGATGTTTTGTTCTTCATTGTCTCACATAATGAGGGGCTGAACATTTTATTTACATTTCTTGTATAAACAATTAGGTCTCCTTTACTCATAACCTTAAGTGAAGGCGGGGTCCTAAGTTCTCGGCAGCCCCCGACTTGAATTCACATCCTCCGCCCAAGTGGAGACTGTCAAACACAGGGTCAGCCCATCAGGCCCCAGCACCCTGACCTGGGCAAACACCGGGCAGGACACCAGCAGCACTGCACACGGGCTCACGAGCCTTAGGCCCGCCCTCCTGAGGACCCCGGCCCCCAGTACCTTCAGGCAGAGCTTCACAGTCCCGCTCAGGCTCTAAGAACCCCCAGTGGGAGGCTGTCTGAATCACCACGTTCCTTTTCTCTTCTGCACAATTCTTCTTCTCTTTGGCTATTATTGAGGGTGTTTTATACGTGGTATCTGTGTAGATTTAGGGTAGACACACTCAAGCACAGAACGGTGAGTGAGGTGGTGTCCCTTCCAGAGCTGGGTCTGGATTACGAAGTGCAGTCAGGTTGGGTTACAAACTCTCTGACAGAAAACCATTCACTTTTAGGAGGGAAGCAGCAGGACTGTCTTAAATAAAACACTGGCAACAGTGGGACCGTGGACCAGTGTGAGGGGGTAGGGACGCCCCACAGCGGACACCAAGAGGCCGGTAAACGCCAACAGTCACAGAACAGGGTCTGTGTGGCCAGAGGCTGGCACGTGGCCGGGGCTGTGCTACGCGGAGCTGAACCACACACCGGCGACAGACACTGCAGACGCCAGCCGCTGCCGTGAACAGAAGTCCACGGACAGAGGGCAGCGACAGAGCCGCCCAAGAGGCATGCTCAGGAACGGCAAAAAATGGCAGGGTGGGGAGCCTAGGGATGAGCAAAGTACCTCGATTTTGAGCAAGCAATCTCGAAACCTGAGCAATAGCACAACTAATTAAATAGGACCACCATGCGAACGAGGTGCCAGCACACTGGTGCACTGGGTGCTGGGGAGGCGGTCACACCGCCCTGACCCGAGCCCCTCACCCCACCACGCTAGGTCTCCAGAGACACGGCCATCACGTTCCAGGACTGCGCTAAAGCCGGATGTAAAATCTGCCATTTACCAGCGGTCTGAAAATAGAGAGCTTTAGAAAGTGACGCACCACCTTTCAACAGGTACAAGGGAGGGAGATGGGCGGCGGAATGCCAGGACTGCTAGTCTCACGGCACCCTCGTCAGGAACAAGGCTCCCTCCTGCCCTTCCAGCCCTTGCCTTTCAAGTGGTTCAATCACTAGTTCAAGGAATAAATTTAAGACCAAAAATTCTAGACTGTGGCACATGCTGTATGCTGATCCCCAAGTGTCAAACATGGCTGGGACTCCCACCAAACTGCTTCCTGCAATAAACACTGGGAAGTGCAGGTATTTGGAAACAAAGACCTAGGTTATTGGGGGTTTTTTTGTTTTGTTTTTAAAGATTTTATTTATTTGGCAGAGAGAGAGACAGCGAGAGAGGGAACACAAGCAGGGGGAGTGGGAGAGGGAGAAGCAGGCTTCCCGCCGAGCAGGGAGCCCGGTACGGGGCTCGATCCCAGGACCCCGGGACCATGACCTGAGCTGAAGGCAAACGCTTAACGACTAAGCCACCCAGGCACCCTAACAAAGACCTAGGTTTAAAAAGATATATTACTGGGGCGCCTGGGGGGCTCAGTTGGTTAACCGTCCGACTCTTGGTTTTGGCTCAAGTCCTGATCTCAGGGCCTTGAGATCGAGCCCTGTGTCGGGCTCCACGCTCAGTGGGGAGTTTGCTTGGGATTCTCTCTCCCTCTGCTTCCCTCTCTGCTCCTCGTACCAAGTCGCACACACGCACTCTCTCTGAAATAAATAAATCTTTAAAAAAATGCATTAGAGGGGCACCTGGGAGGCTCAGTCGTTAAGCGTCTGCCTTTGGCTCATGTCATGATCCCAGGGTCCTGGGATCGAGCCCCACATCGGGCTCCCTGCTCCGCGGGAAGCCTGCTTCTCCCTCTCCCACTCGCCCTGCTTGTGTTCCCTCTCTCGCTCTGTCAAATAAATAAATAAAATCTTTTAAAAAATTTTTAAATGTACTAGAACACAATGTTTTTAAAAACTTGATATAACTGGGCGCCTGGGTGGCTCAGTTGGTTAAGCGACTGCCTTCGGCTCAGGTCATGATCCTGGAGTCCCGGGATTGAGTACCGCATCGGGCTCCCTGCTCAGCAGCGAGTCTGCTTCTCCCTCTGACCCTCCTCCCTCTCATGCTATCTCATTCTCTCTCTCAAATAAATAAATAAAATCTTTAAAAAAAAACTTGATATAACCACCTATCATGATGGACGTTAACTAGACTTACTGTGGTCATTTCACAATAAATATAAATACAAAATCATTATGTTTTACACGTAAAACTAATGTTTTATATCAACTGTACCTTGATTAAAGATTTTAACAATTGATGTTTACCATAAACTAGAACCGTCCATTCAGTCCATCCTACGTCTTATTCCAGCTACTCTCATTACTGCGCATCACATTCTGGAGCCACACCAAGATCACTACTGAACGAACATACTCACCACTACTTAATACATTTATTGTCCAGAGACGACTACTGCCTTTCGTATCATCAGGCGAACCTGTCAACACTCTGTTCATGATGGGGGGAGAGAGGTTAATGAATACTTAAGAAAACCCGGTATCCCGCACTGTGACCGTGTTGGTGTAAACACTTTCAAGTAATCAGGCAGCTAGAGGTCACGCAGGTAGAGAAGTCATCTAGGCAAAGTAGAGAAACAGTCCTGCGGATCTCTAACTGCCTAGCCACGACTCAAGAACCAACGGCCAAAGCTTCGTGGATTAGAGGTTGATGCTGAAGGCACCCACCTCCTTTCATAAAGGCCAAACAGAATTAAACGCCTACCTGAAAGATCACTGTCTAGATACGAAAAGGTTTTATAATGCATCCACACAAGCACATTGCTCTTTGAAATTTAAAGAAAAAATTTATTGAAGGTCTGAAAAACAATTCCTAAAAGATTGACTTCTCCAGAAAACTGTAGCTACACAATGCATTGCGTCTATTATGTTAAAACGTGCATTAGACACAAATACAAAAACCATGAAACAAGCCACCATTCTTCAACAATCTGAGCATAGATAAAATGCCTAAGGAACAACATGGATGGCCTGCGAAGGATGGGCTCTTTACTTTAAGCACCATTAAAAAAAAAAAAGGAGCACAAACGGATGAGCGTGTTCAGTTATACACACTGAATTGAACCTTTGGCACCAGGAGTCAGAGCCTTTGTCACAGAGCAGTGACACGTATCATAAAAGTGCGCAGTGTCAAAGGAACAGAACCACCAGCATTCAAAGCAGCTTTGCCGACTAGGCAACAGAACAGTCTACAGTACGTCTCTCCGTTGTCCATCACTGAATACACTGGTAGCAACTTTGAAATGAAAGAAAAAGAAAAGAAAAAAGGAGCTGTAACCCCTTTTATTTTCTCTGTTTAAGATCAAACAGAAAACAAACATCAACTCTGTTATACACTAACATTTTCAAAGTACATCATTTGTACAAGAGAAGGACTAAACAAAAATGTGTTTACAGAGATCCAAACGAAGTGAGGGCCGGCACCTCGCCTCACACGGCCTTCCGATGGTACTCAGGAGGAGCCACTTCATAATCGCTGGCACTGAACAAGGTTGCCGAATTCTTTGCCAGGTATCTGAAAACAAAATGTCAGCCGTTATAAAGATGAAGGAGAATCCTACCTTGATCTAAATCAAGGCACAGATGCTGCACAACACAGTTTCTCTGAAAATATACTAAAATAAAGGCAACTTCACGGTAAAACCCTGTCACTACAACTCAGATACACAGGGCCATACACGCCAGTCAGTGATGCATAAAGAACGAAGAAGTCCAGAGTCACTCCCTCATTTCCAAACAGTAAAGAATAGCTGTCTTCAGAATACCAACTTGAGAGCTGGGACTGTTTTTAGGAAACAGATGTTGCATCCTAAAGGAACATCTAGTGTTTTCTTTAGCTCTTTGAAACTCAATCTATGAGATACAGATTCAGAAATTGACAAACACCATAAAAATCAAAGGGTCCTGAACTGTTCAGCGGTACAACACTTTGAGTTCATTAAAAAAAAAAATCCAGGCAGAGAGAGGACCTCTCCTCATCACCAGGAGAGCAAGGACTAGAATGCTGCATACATTCCCAGGCATGTGTTGCAGTTTTGAGATTATAAAACACACGGTAACACGCTAAGAAAATTCAAATACAGAAACAGATGAAGTAGAAACGGACCACTTCAACCTTCCCTCCCAGAAGGGTGCCCAGGAACTAATCCACCATTTGGTAGGAACCACACCTTTCCAGATCTTTTCCAAAGAGTACAAACGTTTCTCCACAAATGAGGGGACTCACACACCTACTTTTCCTGCAACTTGGCTGTTTTCAGTTGCCGCAACATGGACAGCTTTCTCATCAGGATGTTTACAGCTACATCCTTTAACAGCAGCTTGGCTATTGAGAATTCATTACTATATACGTGTGTTTTACACCTTCATGCATTTGGAAATCTTTGTGCACTTCAACGTATCTACGGGGTCAATTCCCAGAGAGGTTAACGGTCTGGTCCGAGGGAAGCACATTTGAACTGTCAACAGGCATTGCCAAAAATGCCCTCCACAAAGCTGCGGAAACCAGAACTGCCCTTTCCAATTCTGCAGTCCGGTTAATCTCGGCCAGCGCGACAGAGACCCCCTGACCGTGGGAACCCTGCACCATTTCGGTAGGCCACCGAGCTGCCACCGCTGTGGAAACCCACCATGCTGATTGTCACTGCTTTGCTCACCGTGATCACAACTCTTCTGTTACTATTTCTTTGTTACTAATTTTTAATCACAGAATTTTAACTTTTTACACAGTCAAAATGATTATTCCCTATTTATTTAAGACCTTTCTCACTCTAAAAATAATGAAAATACTACCATTTTTCCATCATTATCTTAACAGTTTCTATTTTAGATTTATACTTTGGATTAATCTAGAATTTTGGTCTGTGACAGTTAAGTGTGGATCAGATTTTGTTTCCTTCCAAAGACTTAGCCAGCTGATCCCGTCAGACGCCACCCCGGCATTTGTGGCAGTCAGCACCTGCACTCATGCTGTTCCACTGACGTCTCTCCTCCGTCCACATACTGCTCTGTTCTCGTCTGTCTTCTATCTATAATGCACTGATGGATCAGTGATTCTCGGTACTCTGTGCTAATCCATGTTTGTAATTTCAAGCACACCTTTAAACTTACTTTAGGAAATCATGAAGATAATTTAGCAACAATGCAAGGCTTTTCTCATCCAGAGGAGTATAGGCCAACATTGCTCCGATTCGTACTGTGTAAATAAAATAATGTAGTCAAAGTTACATACGAGATAGCACTAGAAGCACTATTTTTGTTATGTGAGCAGCAAATGCAATCACTGACTCCTTTAAAATATGTGATTTTAGAAACTCTACTTTTAAACAGATTTGATATTTAACATTTTAGGTAGAAAATTCAAAATAGAATATTCTATGTTATTTTCTGTTACCCCTTGATGTCAATTAGTAAAGACAAAAAATATTAAAAACCCAAAGGACAGGGATGCCTGAGGGGCTCAGTTGGTTAAGCGTCTGCCTCTGGCTCAGGTCATGATCCCAGGGTCCTTGGATCAAGTCCCACATCAGGCTCCCTGCTCAGTGGGGAGTCTGCTCCCCCCACCCCACCGCTCATTCTCGCTCTCAAATAAAATCTTAAAAAATAAGATAAAGAAATAAAAAACCAAAGGATAAAAAATAATTTTTTTCTGGGCGCCTGGGTGGCTCAGTTGGTTAAGCGACTGCCTTCGGCTCAGGTCATGATCCTGGAGTTCCGGGATCGAGTCCCACATCGGGCTCCCTGCTCAGCAGGGAGTCTGCTTCTCCCTCTGACCCTCCTCCCTCTCGTGTTCTCTCTCATTCTCTCTCTCGCAAATAAAAAAAATAATTATAATAATAATTTTTTTCTAAATAGGACATTACCAAATAATCTCAGTAGATGTGGTGCTCCATACACCTGGGACATGGGTGCATCCGGGTGATCCGCTAGGATCTCCGCATACTGTGGTCTCTCAAATTTGTAGAGTAGCTGAGTGCCCAACATCACATTGAAGTATTCCTTTATTCCTGCCACAACCTCATTAACAGCATACTCCCTGATACAAAGACAAAAATATTTACTTTCAAAGCAAGTCACTGAAAAGAATTGAGAAATGGGGATTAATTCAATCAATTAAGAGCAAGGGACTTGAACTGAAGGCTGAACTAATGGCAATGAACTTTTAATGAACACATTTTTTTTAAAGGGATTTAAAGAACAAAAAAAATCAATTCCAAAAATAAACCAGTTGGTAAGCTAACTACAGCCCTCAGGCTAAGAATATTTTTAGAAAAATTCTCAAACAACTGTATTTTAAATGGTTATACATGCACTTACACATAATAGCTTCAATTTTACCTAAAATATTTACTGTCTGGCCCTTTAAAAAAAAAGTTTGCCAGCCAAACCCCATGTCAAACCAATGAAATTCTATTTTGCTGGTTTCTGATAGCACTAAGAGTAAGTGGACGTTTCAGAGGATTTACTTGAAAATAAGAATACTTAAAAGAAAAACATCTTTGTGTATACTTAAAAGATTTATATGTTCTTACTTATTATCTGTGTTTCCTCGAGATTTCTTGTAATTTGCGTAATCCTCTAGAATGGAATCCACATTCTTCTTGGCAGGAAGATAAAAGAGCTATGAAAACAAAAAAAAAACGAATACCACAGTATTTTTTTTTTTTTTTTTAAAGAAAAATTACACTGGAAAACCTTTAATGCAACAAAAGACCACCTAACAGTTACAAAATAGGAAATGGCGCTGTTCAGCACTTACAACATAGCTACTGTGGCTGAGGAACTAATAAAAATTTTAGTTTAGTAATCTCAGTACATAGCCAAATGTTGACTAGAGGCTGCCATATTGGACAGCACAGCTCTAAAGACCAGTCATCTGCTGGACACACGTTCCTTCTACTCACGATCTATGGAATGCACCACACAGAAATGTAGAAATGTACCTCCCTGACACTGACATTATTTACTGTATGTGGATCATGTGCCAGACCCTGTTGGAAGCATACATGAAATCTCTTTTCATCCTCACATCAGTAGTGGGAGGTAGGAACCTACTAAAACACAGACAGGCTGAGTCCTCAGTAACTGGTAGGGTCAGGGTTTGAATCCAGCAGTTCAGCACCGGAACCAAATCAAGAACCAAATGAGTTCCACACAGCCTCTAGGACTGAGGTCTCTGAAGTCTCCTGACCCCCACGCAGTCTATACGCCCCCGTTCCTGCCCATGCCATCTGTTCTAAGAACTTGGTTCATCGTCTGATAAGGTCCTCATTCTGGTTTTGATGGCTGCACCCTTGTGATGTCACATATGTCCCTCATAATGCCCTATTTCCTTTACACTAGTAATCAGACTTGGAGCTGGAGGAGATTCAGGTTCTTTTGGAGGCCACGAATACCTTGCAGGAACTATTGTGTGCTTCCTGTTACATTCCACTAGTAGCAACATTATGTGAGGATATCCCCTTTTCAATGACAGTAGAACAGGAAACACATGCTTCTTTGTCCTTATCAATTTTCAGAACGATTTCCTATCCTAGCAACCTCCAAAATGGTGTTCTCTCCACCTTTTCTCACTATAAACTCATGGGCCTTTTATATATGTACTTTGTTTTAGTCCTCTACAAGTGAGGCCTTCTGATGATCACACTGTTCAGTCTCTGAATTAAAATAATACTCATCCGGGGCGCCTTAGTGGCTCAGTCGGTTAAGCGTCTGCCTTTGGCTCAGGTCCTGATCCCAGGGTCCTGGGATCGAGCCCTACATCGGGCTCCCTGCTCGGAGGGAAGCCTGCTTCTCCCTCTCCCACACCCCCTGCCTGTGTTCCCTCTCTCGCTGTGTCTCTCTCTGTCAAAAAATAAATAAAATCTTAAAAAAATTAAATAACACTCATCAGTCACACCCCTGCTATAGTCAAGTCTACACAATTTTTTCCTTAGAACTTTGTTTCACACTACCTAGAACATCTATAGATGACTGTGTCGCTTTCAAGGTACCTGTTTTTGTCGGGTAATTAAGTCCCAATCATCGACAAGCCATGGTTTTAGCTCTTCAGGAATCTTCACTTTCACTTCAACTCTGTTCATGAATGTTTCCTCCTGGACAGAAAAGGGAATGGCATTAAAAACCCACCTTTTCTCACTAAACAACAACTAAAATTCAGGGCTTTACTCAATCTTTAGAGGCACTAAAGACATAAATTAATTCTTTAAAGTACTCAAATGGACTGCCAGAGTTGACATTCAAAAATTCGTACACGAAAAACCCCTACAGCTAAGCTGATGGGAGATAAGAATCTGGTCTTCATAGATAATTGGTCTATTCAGTGCCTTTTCGTGTGAAGGCACAAATTCTTCAGCACATTTTCTTTTCTTCTGCAAATGAGCACTCAGACTTGGTGCACTCTAATGGTATTTTCATATTTATTGTTGATATCCAAGGACTGTTCCAAGTATGACTACCTTGAAACTACTTCTTTAATACATAAAATTAAATGTATGGACTCCTAATGAAGTCTTTAATCACTGCCCAAAGTTGCCAATTCTCAGAACACAGCACTCTAAGTTTTCTAATCTCGGCTTCAAAAATATAAACTGTCAGTACATTAAAATTAAATTAAAACCCTACTTCCAGGGCGCCTGGGTGTCTCAGCTGGTTAAGCGACTGCCTTCGGCTCAGGTCATGATCCTGGAGAGCCAGGATCGAGTCCCGTGCATAGGGCTCCCTGCTCAGCAGGGAGTATGCTTCTCCCTCTGATCCTCCTCCATCTTGTGCATTTACAGCATTTACTCCCTCTCATTCTCTCTCAAATAAGTAAGATATTAAAAAAAAAAAAAAAAAACCCACTTCCAAACTCATTAACTTTGGAAATTAGAAATAAGACATTTTATCACTTAGAGAAATTCTAAACTCACATACACACACATATATGTAGAACGGATAAAGCTTTTGTGGGGTTTTTTTATGGGTTTGTTAAGTCATCATGGGACATATTAAACCGTTTAACGTGAACTGGTAAGTCTATACAGTCGAACATCAATGAAATATTAAGTTCTGTACATCAACAGAGCTTGAAAACAAGTATCTGATGATGAGCTGGGGAGGATATACATAGCAGGGACATATTCAGAGCTACAAGTGAAATAAATAAAGATGTATTTAAAAAACCCCTTTATCCAAGAAGAGGAATATTTTCATTTCAGTAGTTAACCAAATTAACAGTGTTTTCGAGACTCAAGTTCTGTTTTATTGCACAAACTACAAATACTAAAATGCGATTCATAAAGTTGAGGAGATACTCACATTCTCCACAGTGGGATCCACGCGGGCCCTTTTCTTGCGAGGAGGCGGAGGGGTCTCGCTGGTGCTGCCACCGTCCCCATTTCCAGGTGCTGCACAGATTCAGGAGAAGGAGGGAGATTGTCAGCTTCACATAGGAGAAACTTGTAAGGAAAACAGTCTCATGACACCCCCACTGTTTTCATTTTCCCATTACACAGGAGTTACTCAAATCTACCGTAAAGAATCATAGTTCTACCAAAAATATAAAGTTCTACCAAACACTTAGCATAAGGCAACATTTACAAGATCTTACATTTATTAAAAAATATTATCTTCTCAATCATTAAGACTAAACATGACACAGGTTTCCCCATGTTAAAACAGTATCAAAGTTGGGTCTCTACTACCCAAGTACTATACTACTATATACTGGATTCTGGAGAATGTTGCTGTGATTCATCTTTGACATGACCAACAAACATATGCTTACTCTAAAGACTCTGTAAATTTTAACACTTAATACTAATTTCAAAATGTAAATGCTGTAAAGATAAAATACTTTTAAAACAAATTTAATATTCTTACTTTTCTGTTTGTTCTTTTTGGTTTTCCTAAAAGGAGAAGGGAAGAAAAGGGAAAGAATAATAAGTGATTACTGCTAATAAATAAGTTCCCTTTTACCAGAGTTAAGTTCATAAAGAAATACTGCCTTGGATGGTAAGACCAGGCTGTGAATTAGTTTCCTGCTCAGACAAGAATTTTCACTGATAGTTGGCTAAATTCACACCTCCCTCCATATAATACAAAACTAAACCAAAACCACGCTGGGAGACTTCCATGATATTACTGATTTACAAGTTTACAGCATATGTTATACAGTTTATAAGAATCTTACATTATTAGTTCTACCCAAACAAACTTCCAAGTTCAAGCAACCCCATCAGCTCAGTCCGAGAACCTGATGGGACATGTGTGTCCTCCACCCTCAGGGGCCACTGTCTGTCTCCCTGTACTTCTCTCAAATGGATATTCTGTCCTTTTCTACACCTAATACTCTTTTCTTCCCCTACACAGAACTAAGCTAATGTCTCCTTCCTCTTGGTCATCATCTCTAACTGCAACTTAACTCATGTATATTTACAAACTAGCAAACAGTAAATTATTCATTTTAATTTCATACACAAATATTTAGAGAATACAAGAAAATCATGTGCAAAGCCCACGACTATGGGCTACATCTGGTGGGACCAAACCAGAACACCAGAGTAGGCTGACTCTTCTACTGCTTTAAAAAAAACATTTATAAATCTTATTAATTGTACTGATCTAATTTAGAGCATGAGATTCATTTTACAACTCAAATTAACTTATGTTTAGGGATAAGTACAAAAATCTGGCCATCTGAACGTACAAGATTTTTCCTGTTTCTCCAAGTTTAACTCTGGAACACAAGTACTTGTTGGACAGTATTTCTGGGTCAGATTAAACCATGAACTTTTACTTATACATGTTAAAAACAGGTGGGGACCAAGAGAAACCTAGAGCCCTGACACGTATTCCTTACCCACTCATCCTATACCACAAAATTAAAGAAAAAACACTGACAGCTGACCCTAACTCTGAAATCTATAAACTATACTTCAATGAATCACAGCAGTAAAGACTCACAGACTTCTTGCTTCAACCTTCTCACTTATATTAATTAAACAAGCAAGCTAGTTTCTCAAACTAGGCAACAGATTTCCTACAATAAACTGCCTGGTGTTGTCTTAGCCCTATGACTTAGTATTATATAGTCAAAACATCAGCTGTTAGATTCAATTTAAAGAATAACTGAAATCCTAAGTCATTCTTTTTTTTTTTTTTTTTTTAGATTTTATTTATTTATTTGAGAGAGAGAGTGAGAGAGAGAAAGAGCACAAGACGGGGGAGCGGGAGAGGGAGAAGCAGACTCCCTGCTGAGCAGGTAGCCCGATGCGGGACTCGATCCCGGGACTCCAGGATCATGACCCGAGCCGAAGGCAGTCGCTTAACCAACTGAGCCACCCAGGCACCCCACAATCCTAAGTCATTCTTAAGAAAAGCCATTCCAGGGACACCTGGATGGCTCTGTCGGTTAAATGTCTGCCTTTGGCTCAGGTCACGATCCCAGGGTCCTGGGATCGAGCCCCACATCGGGCTCCCTGCTTGGCGGGAAGCCTGCTTCTCCCTCTCCCACTCCCCCTGCTTGTGTTCCCTCTCTCGCTGTGTCTCTGTCAAATAAATAAATAAAATATATTAAAAAAATAAAATTACTTGATGTTTTCTCTAACCACTCAGATTATGATCTCCACAAAACGTCATCTTTCCCATTAATAAAGGCTCTTGGAGAAAAAAGGAAGTTCCATGTCTTAGGGCAGAAAATGTACCAGGTGAGCCTAGAACATATCTTATCCTACCTAATGACAAGAAGACCCAAAAGACCCAAGATCCCTCATCAAAAGACCCAGGAGCCAATAAATTTGAAGAGGACCCCACTCTCCAGGAAGGGAAAATTGAGTTTTAAAGTTTTACTTCATACTTACTGAGCCATTATTTTTGTAGTTGAAATCGTACAACACTTTATATTCAAATACAAATAATTTTTAAGCCTACTACTAGACTAATTTTCTACACCAACTTTTAACACGAGAAAGGATTAACATTAAATCAAAAGTATTTTATCGATAAAAATCCATCATATTCTCCCTAATGAGAAAGTTGCTGACTTTTAAGACTCACTTGCTATTAAAATCCTAATGACTACTACTACATGGCAGTTTTCCAAAGAACAGCATAATTTGTTACTGCTTTTTAATGAAAGCTACAGGCCGCCCTCAGTGGCACACCCACCCCTTGGCTATCAAATATCAGCTCGACAAAGGTCAACCTTCCACTGCCTAGTTCCCTTCATGACTAACATCTCATGTTTAGGTAGTAAAGGCAGACCACCAACTCTAAAGCAATACGATGTAATTCTGAGGAAAAACATACAAACTTCTCCTCAATAAATCCTATTTTAGAACACTGTCACTTTTGATCCTTTGACAAGAACATGACCACTTATTAAACTACCTGTTTTTAAATCTTTTTTTATTTTAAAGATTTTATTTGAGAGTGAGAGAGCAAAGGCAAGGGGAAAGGCAGAGAGAGAGGGAGAAGCAGACTGCCCCTGAGCAGAGAGCCCGATGCAGGACTCAATCCCAGGACCCTGTGATCATGACCTGAGCCAAAGGCAGACTGTACCTAAGCCACCCAGGCGCCCCCTAACCTACCTGTTTTTTTGTTTGTTTGTTTTTTAAGATTTTACTTATTCACGAGAGAGCGAGTGAGAGAAAATGAGAGGGCAGGAGGTGGGGGAGGGTCAGAGGAAGAAGCAGACTCCCCACTGAGCAGGGAGCCCAACGCAGGACTCGATCCTGGGACTCCAGGATTCACGACCCGAGCCGAAGGCAGCTGCCCAACCAACCGAGCCACCCAGGCACCCCTAAACTACCTGTTTTTAAATGAAAATAATCAAGTCACAAAAAATAAAATGATCTTCTAATAAAAGTTTTTGATCTGTCATTTGTGCATGACTTCCACACATAGGTTTTATTACCAAGATGTTCTAAATCTTAAGAGTTAACGACAAGAAATGCCCCCCCCCCCCCACCGGGGTGGGTGGGTAATTTGAAACTTTAACATCTCACACATTCTTACCACGGGTTTCAAAAGAAGAGTTAAACAAAAGAGCAAATCTGCCCCAAAAATATCTTAAGACTTGTGTTCTACTGATAATACTCTATTTGTAAAAGAAAACACATACATGCACACACACACAAACACACCTTAAAAAGGGTTCTGGATGTACTCAATGCCACTGAATTACACACTTAAAAATGAGTTCAACGGTGAATTTTATGTTACATATTTTTCACCATAATAAAAAAGGGGGCGAGGTGGTACAGAAAACCTGCTAAAGGAAATTAAGGAATTAATATGTAATTATTACGTATTTTCAACAACCCAACACTTGAGAGCGGGATTCTCATTGGCGTTTTTCAAGTTAAAACGTTCCAGTTTCCATTTTCAATAAACCCTAATACATGATAATGAGTACTGAGTTTGAATCTCACTTATAAAACAATATACAAAATTAAAGCGAAGATGGAGCTTCTTACACGTCCACATTTTTCTGTTGCAGACCAGACGTCTTCTTTCCTGGGGCAGCCCCTCTCATCTTCCCCTCCGCATACTGCTCCCTTCAAAAATAATGTCAGTGGTTGTCATTAAATGAGTACTCACGTGGAAAAATAAACTGTGCCAGCTTGATTCCATCTGAAATTTATACTCAAACTGAGGCCCCACACCCCCTTCCCAAGTCTAACTCCCACAGAGCCTAGGAGGTAAGGAGATCACAGTGAGTTTGCAACTACAGGACTTGCTGTCTTCTATCTAACTCTATGGACAGACTCAAGAAATGACCGGTATCTACTTTCTTTTTCTGGGAAAGGCTTCCCTGATTGAAGTTTCAAGCCCCAACACAGCAGCTAACAGGTACCAAGAATCATTTTGTAGGTGGGGAGCCAATATGATTCTAGTATTCATTCCATTTCCCAAAATTAATTTGCAGACATTTCTCCTCCTATTCACGCTGCAAAACAAACTTACTGATTGGCTTTTTGGAGTTCTCGCTGTTTCTGCAGATTGGTATCCACGTATTTGAGTACTCTGCTTTCTGGAACCCATTCATCCCAACTGAAAAAGACAAAAGTTCAATTATCATTCAAAATTATTTTTACCACTATTCAGACTTTGTCCACCAATTACTTTTTAGAGATCTAAGAGGCAAGACTTCGGATTTCTCTGACAAAAATTTAGTAGGACTACAAATCCGTTCTCAACTAAAATGAAAATCTGTTCTATAAAGGAAGTAAACATTTCATATCCTCAAAAGCAGCATTCCAAATCTTAACCGCCAGATTATAAAAACAGATTATTCAAATCCTTTCTTCAAATGACTTAAGAGCATGGCACTTAGAGAGTCCCTAAGCAACTACCCTTACAGAATAAAGAGATCTTAAAGAATTTTAATTTCCAAAAAAAATGAAAGAGTCCATCAAAAGCTAATACTGTGTAAATTAATAGCAAAGTTACAGAACTAGCTGTGCATGATTTTCATCACCTGTAAAATGAGTGTTAACTATACCTACCTTTACAGAATTGTTACAAAAATTAAATAATACATGTAAAATAGTCAGGAGTCTGACATAAAATACACTCAAGGTAGGTCAGGAACATGATTAGGTCTACCACACTCAAACAACATCCAGACCAACTCAGCTAAGACTGTAGATCAAACCATTATCAGATGGTTTATCAGACTACATCATCCTCAACCTTCACTCACTCATGAATGAATGCACTTCCAAGACATAACCAGAGAGATGGCTTTTTAAACATCAAAAGGTAGAACCAACCACTCTAAAAATATCTAGTTGCTTAAGCATTCTGGCCCTTAAAAAAGCTCCTTCAAGATTTCTGATGTGGTTCTTCTCCAGAGGGGAAAACAAAAACAAGGTATTTCTTAGGGAATGCTGAACTATTCATGCAAAGTGACACTTTTCTCCTGCTGAGGGAGCTCCTTTAGTGACACAATTAGATGTATCCTCAAAGCAAAATCTTTCATTTAATGATTTCCCACCTCTGACCTCTTACATAAGATAGCCAAAAGGAGAATAAATAATTAAAAAGCAATCCTCAACATGATTTCCTAGAGAAAACTTTAAAACATGCATTTACCTAGAGGTCAGGAGGGGGTGGTGTACTGAGGGAGCTCCTTCAGGAACAGGAAAAAGGGCTACAATATCCTCACGTGTCTTCAAAGTTTTTTCAGAGCGCCTGGGCCTCACAGCACTTCTGATACAGACAGCATAGTACAAAGTAATCTCAGTAACTAGGTGCAGAATTTAGCTTAAGCTTTATTAAGATTTATTTACAAATGGAATATTTAAATGTCTGTGTCAACAAGTTCCAATAAGGAGTTTGAAAATTTAGAAATATATTATCTATTGTGCTTTTGAAAATATTTATATATTTACTGAAGTTTAAAAAACTCCAATTTGGAGATTGGGCTTTTGTTGTATGACTTTCCAAAAATAAGATACCTTACAAACCATTTTCAAAATGAGAATCTTATTTTTATTTATATATCTACTTGTATCTATTCCCATTCTCTCTAAATTAAGGGGAGCTGTCAAATTTTTATTTACCACAAAGCTTCATTTTAGATCCCTGCAAATCCCTTCCCACTCTGATATAAAATACATCTACATAAGCACTTTGATCTAAAAACCAAATCAAGGGGTGCCCAGATGGCTCAGTCAGTAGAGCATGTGACTCTTGATCTCTGGGTCGTGAGTTCAAGCCCCACACTGGGCATAGTATTTACTCAAAAAAAATTTTTTTAATTAAAAAATAACAAAAACCAAATCAATTCCAGAGTTTCCTTTATGTGTCAGAAGCTGAAAACCCTTGCTGAACCACAGGAAGATGAAATATCTTTTGCTCTGAGGAACATCACTACTAGGGTAGTAACTGAAGGCCAGACATTCAGAAATTTTCACAGGTCACAAGCATAAGTTCAGAATTTTCTAAAGGTAGCTTGTCAATAAATTCCAACATCACAGTGATCTGTGGCATTACTTACACAGTACTAAATATAAACATAACACACTTGCTGGGCATTTGAGTAACTCTTCCCCATTTCAAAATGGGGTTTATTTAAAGCCTTCTCTAAATACTAAGATCGAATTTTTCAAAATTACGTATATTGATCTACATCCCAAATCACCTACAAAAAATACATCTTTGTTCATTAATATCCTCAATACATCTAAAAGATATTAAAGATCTCCAAAGTTCAGTGCCATTTTTAAATTTTTTCCAAGGAATCAGTACATAAAAGTAGCTGAAAACAAATCTATGCAGCCTATCATTTTACTTGTGTTACTGAATTCTAACAAAGGAAAAAACGTTATTTTGAAGTCGTAAAATCAGGAAATACAAGCATTTGACACTTTCATAATTTCTTATAAGCTACAAATGCCACTCAAAACCCAAGTCTTTAAGCTGTACACATCTACCTGTAATTTTAAACAAAATATTGCACATAAAAGAGTTAAGCACAAAACCTGTGTGTTCACAGCTATTAAGATGAAATCCTAAAACACTTATTTACAAGAGTAAATGGGGAGGGAAGCAATCCTGTATCCTGAATTTGCTGTTTTTCTTTTGATTTCCTGGATGGACGTTAATTTTCCCACACATGATATGCACAAATGAGACATTTTATTACCTGTAGAGAATGGAGATTCTTATTGTATCGTAATGCTCTCAACTTTACCCAATACTGACAGAGTATCCGCATGTACAATAAATCTAATACAAGACTGAAATACAGTTTAAATAGAGAAATCTACAATACACACCAGGAGCCATACGATGAACTTTCCTGGATATTAGAAATAATTTAGATACTAAAGAAATCACATTTAAAATCATAGTTTATTTGTAAAAGACAAAAGGATAGTTTTCCCTATGGTTTTCCCAATTTCTCAATATTTAAAATCCTATCTGTCATTATGAGAAATAATTTAAGTGGGGGAAAAAAATCACAAGGAATGTGCTTTTACACATTTTAGATGTCCACCTTTCTACAACTATACTAATGGAAGAAAAGTGAAGGGTCTGGTATTTTTTTTTTTTTTTAAGACTTTATTTATTTATGTGAGAGAAACACAGCGCGAGAGGAAACACAAGCAGGGGAGTGGGAGAGGGAGAAGCAGGCTTCCCGCGGAGGAGGGAGCCCAATGTGGGGCTTTATCCCAGGACCCTGGGTTCATGCCCTGACCCGAAGGCAGATGCTTAATGACTGAGCCACCAGGCGCCCCAGGGTCTGGTATTTCTTAGCTAAAAGCACTTTGTGAAAAATTTTTCTAAAAAAATAAAACTGGGTCACCTAAACAACACCAAAATCACAGGGCCAGTGAGAGTCAGAGAATACCTTCTTCCATAGCACTAGAGTGCTCATCCAATCCGATGGCTTACTCACGTGGGGAACCAGACACCAGAGCACAGCTCAGGAGACACAAAGCCTTAAAAGTTGCTAGCAAACAACCCCGGAAGAACTACTTTCTGGCAATCTTTGAACGACAAAACACCACTAATAAAAGTAATTTAAAACCTCTCACAGTAAAAATTATAGGTTCTTCTATTTCAAGCACCAAAAATGAATAAATTATTAGACATGATATTTGTGGGTCCCAAGGAGAAAGAGTCATCACTGAAAAAGAGAACTCCACTGGCTAGGTATTCTAGAATATGTTCAATCTATGACCACTGTCCACTCCTGGCAATGGATCAATACACCACTCCTTTAAAAAAAAAAAAAAAAAGGTTTAACTCTTCCAGGTGAAAAATTAGGTTCTGTAATTAAATTCTTCTATCCGTATTAAACCATATTCTAAAAAATGAACACATGAAATCACTCTCTGCCAACATTTATGTTACCAAAGTTCAGAACATAAGTTGGTCATTACTTCCTAATCAAACATGCTCATCCTTTCTCCTTTTTTAGGCAGAAAAATCCAACTAGCTCTGAGTATAACTGTTTGCAGTAACATATATAGTAACTGAGTTTGTGCTAAGGCAAAAAACTAAAGCTGTCCTAAAATGTACTAAACCAAGAAAAAAAGTAGTTGGTTGACTAACAATTACTGGACATTATACTAGAGCACGAGAAATAATCCAAAGATTTTAAAATGTAACGGCTACGTACCCTAGTTTCTACTACCTTCTCCATACTACAAACGTCTCACCCTTGCTTTGATGCACGAAATACGTTAAAACCGTACAAGAATTCAGAGGCGTAGGTTTGCAACACACGTGACACAGCCTACCTTGTAATAAAACATTGTTTTTAAAGATCTAATACTAATACTCACTTTTTATTCCAACCACTGTAATGTATAAAGTATTTCACTTGTTTGTCCTTTATGGCAACCTTTACACACTGAAATAAAAAAGAAAAAATTCACTCAGAAATAGGTTTTGAAAAAGATGACCACCTGTATGCTTTTCAGGTATACAATCTTTAAGACACTCCACTCAAACTCCGGTGGCCAAAACGAGCACGACACAATGTGACGGTCACAAAGAAGAGTGTTCAAGCTTCTCATTCACATACATCAACAGTCATAAAACTGCCTCAAAGTCACCATCTGCTGGAGCTAGTCCAGCAAAGCAGAAAACCCATCATAAGAGGTCACCCTGAGCTTTAAATCAGTGGATGCAATTATGAGCTCTCCAAGAACAGCTAACGGAAGCCATGTTTGCACTTTCTACCAGTCAGAAGCCATTACGTATTTCAAAAACAAATTCAGCTAAAGAAAATTATTTATACCGTACCATTAAAAAGTGTCATTAACTTATGGAAGGCAATAAACGGTTTTGCTGCAGAGTATTAGCAACTAGCCAATTTATACATGAAAAACATTTTATGTTCTTCTTAAAAGTGGCCTAAACAATTAGAATGCATGATTAGAGGAAGTTATCGACTATGACAAGCGATCACTATCCAAAGTCTTTATCTTGAGCAAACCAAGAGAACCAGGATAGTTTAAGCTATTCCAACAGCCATTTAAAAATTGTTCACTGGAGTTTCTGCTGCCAGAGGAAAAAAAAAACCTGTCAGGTCAGCGGAGTTGACACAACAAAAATAATATGCAGGAATATAAATGATCAACAGAACTCACAACTTACTTACAAGCAGTGTTAGTATGCATCACTGAGAGATGTACATACACACAAGGTTAACAGATTCTCCATAAATCCAAATTCAGTCATTTTAGAACTTGAAAAACACGTATCTAATCTATGTATTCAAAGCAACTGAAAAATAGTGAAAATGGTTATTATTTGGTCACACGGGCACTTCAAGACTGTTAAGACCATTTTCACGCATATACTCACCAAGAATGCTGTAGGAACTGTATTTAACTAAATGCTGTATTGTTTTGTATACCGTTTTTAAAAATTACAAGCATTAAAAACAGTTACACCTTACATATTTGCGCTAAAAGTTCCCAGAAATACTAAAAACACTTTTTACTGGGGAATTTATCATCTCATTTACCTCTGGCTAAATGTACAATCAGTTCTGACAACAGGAGCACACCCCATACAGGGGAAAGGAAGCCCCTAGCATTCAAACTCTGACAGACAAACCAACAAATAAAGTTAAATGTCCTCACATTTTTAACGTTCACTTTGATCTTTAACGTAGTCAAGTTAGCTCAGGGCTTACTCAGCATACTATATTCACATCCAAAACGGACTTTGGCAGTATTTTCTCACAAGTCACTAACTACACATACAACTTGCTCCCACAACCAACCAGTCTTTTACCTTTCCCCTCAAATGCTCCTTCCAGCTGCTGGGCCTTCAGCAGGTCATAAGGTGAATGGCAAGGTGGCAATGCTGTATCTGACCCCCTCGGCAAGTAAGACAAGATGACGTGACGGACGCTATGGACTACCAATCTGTGAAAAAGGCAACTAACTCTCTTCCTACCAACCACTGAAATCTGATGCTCAAGAATCATTTAATCAGTCATTTCAGCTAACTTCTCAAAAGAAAACAGGTTTCGTACCTTTGCTTCATAAAGAAGAGGCCCATGAAAGCACAGCACTCGTTCACCTGTAAAAATAAAAAAAAAATATCGAGTTAATTGTAATTTCTCTTCAGATCTAAGGGTCACATGTGAGAACCATCGCATCTGTACTCGCATGTATTCCTCGCAAAACCAGGGGAGTATGGCCATGTACAGATTAATACCTCGGATCAAACCTCAATAGTACCCTGCAACAAAAGCAGCTCAGTATGCAATGTAAACAGCAAAAAACAACTGATTAGAATGTCAATCCATTTAGACCATCAAATCATCTATCACCTGTTAAGCCAATAAAATTCTACAATATCTACCTTTTGGGAGGATTTGGGTTTTTCAAAGTGTATCTCAGAATACAATTTTTAAAATATTTCCTTTTTTTTTTTTTTTTTAAAGATTTTATTTATTTTTTAGAGAGCGAGCGAGAGAGAAACAGCATGAGAGGGGAGAGGGTCAGAGGGAGAAGCAGGCTCCCTGCTGAGCTGGGAGCCCGATGTGGGACTCGATCCCAGGACCCTGGGATCATGACCTGAGCCGAAGGCAGACGCTTAACCATCTGAGCCACCCAGGCGCCCTAAAATATTTCCTTTTTTAAAATTTATTTGAGAGAGAACACGCGCACATGCGCCACCGGGGGGTGGGGGGGGCAAAGAGAGAATCTTCAAGCAGACTCCCCACTAAGTGCAGAGCCTGATGCCAGGCTCCATACCAGGAGCCTGAGATCAGGACCTAACCTGCAATCAAGAGTCGGACACTTCATGGTCCCAGGGTCCTGGGATCGAGCCCCGCATCAGGCTCCCTGCTCAGCGGGGAGCCTGCTTCTCCCTCTGCCACTCTCCTGGCTTGTGCTCCCTCTCTCTAGCTGTCTGTCTCTCTGTCAAATAAATAAATAAATCCTTTACAAAAAAAAAAGAGTCGGACACTTAACCAACTGAGTCACCCAGGTGCCCCTAAAATATTTCCATATTTAGGACCTTATGCTCTCCCTATTATTTCTGCTTCCAAACCTTTTACTGGTCAAGTAAAATAAGAATTCCAACTTTTGGAAATCACACTCTATGTCGAACTTAAAATTAAGACTTGCACGACTTAAGACCTGGAAGCCAACTCAGCTCCTCAGACAAAACAGGCTGTTAATTCCTGGCAGTACCTGAAGACTACATTTGATTATCGTAGAAATGAATTTCTTGCACATTATTTTCAGCCCCCTTGGATTTCATCAGACCCAAAGGTTAACAAAAGTAGTCCACCACAGATCGCTCTTTCAGCTCTAAAATTATTAAAGCGACCTACTAGCTCAACATTTTTTAAGATTTTATTTTTTTGACAGAAAGAGACACAGCGAGAGAGGAAACACAAGCAGGGGGAGTGGCAGAGGGAGAAGCAGGCTTCCCCACCGAGCAGGGAGCCCAACGCGGGGCTCGACCCCAGGACCCTGAGATCATGACCAGAGCTGAAGGCAGACGCTTAACGAATGAGCCACCCACGCGCCCCTAGCTCAACATTTTTTACTGAGAGCCGCGCGCACACACAGACAGTGGGGGCAGAGGGAGAGGGAGAGGCAGACTCCCCCCTGAGCGGAGAGCTGAGCAATGAGCGAGGAGCCTGAAGGGGGCTGATCCCAGAAACCTGAAATCTTGACCTGAGCCAAAGTCAGATGCTTAACCCACTGAGTCACCCAGGCGCCCCAGCTCAACTCTTCAAAAATTATAGGGCAATAAAGGTTTTCACCATTTTAAAAAATTACTGCTACTTTTAAAAAAACTGACAACTTACAAACCTTCAACATTAAGTTATCTAAAGCAAATCTATATATTCACTTTCAACATATTTATACCCAGTCTTTCACATACCTACTTGTGCACCATTAGAAAAAGGGACACTGATATGTAAGCAAGTAGTTTCGCACAATCTACTGGATTTCCTATGTTATCTTCATATGCAATAGGAGTGAATGATGAGCTACTAGGGAAACAACTGGTACAAAGCATAGAAACATGACAAGGTGACACCATCAGACTACCTACCGTTTAAATATAATTTGCCATCACTGGAGCACAGGGTAAACGTATAAAAGTGGAAATCAAAGTTACACAGATCATAGAGTGCCTTACGTGTCATGTTACGAAGTCTGGACTTTATCCTGAAAGAAGGATTCCCAAATCTGACCAAGAGTCTCTTGGAGTTTTTAGAACTGCAGATTTTCAAGCTTCACCAGACATATTAGACCCTTCCCGGGCAGCCCCAGGAATTTTACTTTGATCAAAGTTCTCTGTGTAATTCTTGTGCAGTGGTCCCCTCTCAAGAACCTGCCAGAGGTTGTTGGGCCTACGCAGAACTTCAAGTGGAGACTGCAAATAGGGAGACCAGTCAGGGACTTCTCCCCGCAGTCCACGGTAAGACAAACAGGTCTGAACCAAAAGCAGTGAGAAGTAAAGGACGACTGAGTGAAAGCAGTAAGTTTTGAACTGACCAGGCTGGAGGGAGCATTAACCAGAACAGGAAATGGAGGGAGGGGGCGTAAAGCAGTTCTGGACTATGTTAGAGCAGCGGCTACAGCACATCCAAGATGGAATCATCTAGTCAGCAGCTGGGTACCAAGTCTCGGGCTCAGGAGAGCGCTAGGCTGCAACCATCACTGAAAACCATGCGATGAGAACGTGGGGATGTAAGTAAGGCACAGGGCGTACCAGCAGCACCAAAGACCACACCTGTGTCTCCTAACTTCACTCCCCAGGTACGCTGCAGAGACCCCGTGAAGGGCGCCGGGGTGGCTCAGCTGGGCAAGCGCCCAACTCTTGGTCTCAGCTCAGGTCATGACTTCAGCGCCACGAGACCGACCCCACTGTGGGCTCCATGCTGCCACGGAGCCCGCTTAAGAATAAGTAACAAAGACACCCTGAGCACGGCCTTACCCCTCCGTCTCCTGGCTGCGGCCGGAAACAACTACACTGAGACCAAGGCCCTTCTGACCCCCGTCCTAGCTACCTGACCCTCCCCACTCTCTCGGCGGGTACACGGAGCGCTGGAGGCACAGGAGCCAGAGTAGCAGACGCCCACAGCCTCCTCTCCGTAAAAGTGGAGAGAAGGGCCTGTAATGGGGGAAGAGCAAGCCGTGTTCTCCGGCGCGGCTCGGGAAGCCCTTCCCCACGCCCGGCCCCGCCGGTATCCGGTGGCAAAGCTCGAGGCTGAGGAGGCTGCCACCCCCCCGCGCTGGCCCGCGCTCAGACTCCACCACCAGCTGGTCGATTCCCGGCGAGCACAGTCACTCCCTCCGACAACGGGCGAAGCGCCCCACGGTTTCACGGTTCTCCCGACTCTTTGGAAGGGAGCATCAGGCCGGCACAACACAGCCCCGGCGCCGAGCGCGCGCAGCCACCGTTAAAGGAGGAAAACGGCCTCGCGTCGCGTCTCCTGCCGCAGCGTCCCAACGCGACTCCGCGTCCCCTCGAGGCCGCCTCTGGTCTCCGAACGCGGCCGTGCGCTTCGGCGCCACGCACGGGCGGAAAGCCTCACTTCCGGGCCCGTGGCTCCCGGCGGCCCACGGGTTCTCCCCGGCGGCGGCGGCCCCCCCCGCTCCCCACCCCGCAGCGGAGAGACGGCGGCGCGCGGCAGCAGAGGGAGCCGCGCCGAGCCGCGCGATGACGTCACGGCCCGGGCCACGCGGCGCCGACCCGAGCCCGCCAGGACTCGCCGGCGACGGGGAGCGTGCGCACGCGAGCGCGCCTCGCGCGCCCCCCGCGCCTCCGCGCCCGGCCGCGGGGACCCGCAACCGCAACGCTCCGTTTCCTCTGTTCCAACAGCAGCTCCTTCCCAAGTCCACAGACCCGGGCCGCACGCACGGACCGAAACCCCCCGAGTAACACAACAGGCGAGCCCGCGCGCGGCCGAGCCCGCCGTCACCTGCGCGGGGGCTGCCGGGGTCCGCGACGCGCCAGGTGACGCCGGCACAGCGCGAGTGCGCACGCGCTCCCGCCCGCTCCAACACTCCCCGCCCCCCCGCCCACGCCGCGGCCTCCGCCCGACGACAGACGCGCTCGCCGTGGGAGCCCGCCGCCCGCCGCCCGCCGGGCCTCGAGCGCCCGCTCGGCCGGCAGCGCCGCCGGCGGGCTCGGGGCGCGCGGAGCACACCGAGGCCGCGCCGCCAGAACGCGCCCGCCCGCCCCGGGGACGCCCGCCGCCGCCCGCCGCACAAAGCCCTGCGCGGCCGCCAGGAGGGGGCGCTGCGCGCGCGCCCGAGCCGGGCGCCGGCGGCCATGATGGCGCGGCCGCCGCACAGCGGCCATTTCGCAGCGACGCGCTCCTCCCGCGCGGGGCCCCGCCGCGCCGCCCCCCGCCGGGCGCCCCCCTCCCCTCGAGCCGAGGCGGGCGGGGCCGGCCGCGGGGCTGTCCCGGGCCTGGCGGCCGCCCCCCCACACCCCGCGCGCGGCCGCCCCTCCCCCACGCCACATCAGCTCCCCGCCGCCAACGCCGCCGCCATGGCGCGCCCGCCGCCTCCCCACAGCGGGCGGCCCCCGCGCCCGCCTTCCCCGGGGCGCCCGGCGCGCCCCGAGCTCCCGCCCGCGCCGCACCCTCGCCCGCGGCCAAGCCCGCCGCCGCCCGCCGCCGCCGCCGCCGCAATGCGCCTTCCTCACAAAGGCCCTGCCCGCCGCCCCCGGCCGCCGCCCGCGGCGCCCCCCGGCCGCCGCCCGCCCGCTCCCGCGCCGCCCGCCGCCTCCCCTGCCGGCCCGGACTCACCCTCCTGGAATTTGGGCTTCGGGTCCTGCTTCGGCGCCATTTATAAGTGATTCGCCGCCGCCTCCTCCTTCTCCCACCACCCCCGACTACCGCCCCCTACTCTCTACCCCACCCAGCTCCGCGTCAGACGCGCCGTCAGGCACCGCCAGCTCTACATCCTGGGCCCGATTTGCCAGCGCCCGCAGACCTCACCGCGCCGCGACCGCGCAGCCGCCGCCCAGCCAACGGCCGCCCGCCGCGCACGCGCCGCCGCGCCCGCGCCGCCCCGGGGCACGCCGGGACCGGTAGTTCGGCGGGGCGGGGCGGGGCGGGGGAGGGGCGGCCGGCCCGCACCCCTGGAGCGCGCGCGGGGGCGAGGGCCCCCGCGAGCCCGCTCGGCGCTCCTCCGTGCCGCCGCGTCCTGGAGTCCGGGGGTGGCGGCTGTGGGCGCCCCGCTCCCGCCGCAGCCCCTCCCCCGCCCCCCCGACGGCGGTGGCCGCCGCCCGCCCCCGGCCCCCACCCTGCCTTCTGCGTTGTGCTTCTGCCACCCCCGCTCGTTCCTGAGGCCGCCACTCAGCGGCGTAAAGCACGGGCCACAAGGGCGGGGACCCCGTCATCTCCCTCCCGTCCCTCGCCGGCCCCCGCCGGGACGCACGCCTGCAGTCGCGGCCGCGGCCGCCTCCCCTGCTCAGGGGCGCACCACATGCCCGGGACGCATAGCCTTAACTGCCGGGATCTTCGTTCTCTCGCAGGGCCCGGGGTTGCTGTCAGGGCTCCACCGTCAGAGCCCGCGTCCCTCGACCTGAACCGGCGTACACGTTGATTCTATTATTTTAGGGCCCCAGATGTGGAATGACGGAGTCAGGGGCCGGGGCGTGTTCGCCGGCCTTGTGAACGGCCGCCTCAGTTTACCTTCCGACCAGCGGTTTAAGAGCGCCTCTTTTCCCACATCCTTGCCCCCCGCGCTAGCCTCAGCCCCTACAGCCTGGTGTCCCGTGGACGGGACACCAGGCCGCGCGCAGAATCGCCTCCGGAAATCGGGGTGGTGCTTACCTGGGGGGGCTGACGAGGGGGTGCCTGTTGTGTGCCCCGTCTTTCCCGGCGTGGTTACACGGTGTTTACGTGGGTAAAGACTCATCAGGTTGTATGGTTATGAGTAATGCACTTTACGAGCAAGGCACTTGGGACAATTCATCACATGGTACAGTTACAAGTAATGCACTCTAATAAAAAGATCTTTAAAAGTCACTTTATTGGGGGGCGCCTGGGTGGGGCAGTCGGTTAAGCGTCTAACTCTTGATTTTGGCTCAAGTCGTCATCTAATTTCAGGGTCCTGGGATGGATTCCCCAGTCCCGCTCTGGGCGCTGGGTGTGGAACCTGCTTAAGATTCTCTCTTCAGGGGGCACCTGGGTGGCTCAGTCGGTTAAGCGACTGCCTTCGGCTCAGGTCATGATCTCAGAGTCCTGGGATCGAGCCCTGCGTTGGGCTCCCTGATCAACAGGAAGCCTGCTTCTCCCTCTCCCGCTCCCCCTGCTTGTGTTCCCTCTCTCGCTGTGTCTCTCTCTGTCAAATAAATAAATAAAATCTTAAAAAAAAAAAAAGAAAGAAAGAAAGAAAGATTCTTTCTTCAGGCGGCCCTCTGTGCCGCCTCCCACCCCCAGAACTCTTTTTCTCTCTCTCTCAAAAGCAAAACAAAACATACAGGGCGCCTGGGTCTGTCATTAGGCGTCTATCTTCGGCTCAGGTTGTTGATCCCAGAGTCCTGGGATCAAGCCCGAGCCCCGCATCAGGCTCTCTGGCGGGAAGCCTGCTTGTGTTCCCTCTCTCACTGTGTCTCTCTGTCAAATAAATAAAATCTTAAAAAAAAAAAATACAGACAACTAGAAAGAATAATACACGACGTACCATGCCTGGTTTCCTTAGTATGTACTTCCAACACAGAAAGGTGTTCTCTTATATAAAACAATACCATTGTTACACACAACACAATTAACTGTGATTCCCTAAAATCATTTAATTCCCATTCCATATTTCCTCACTGGCTCCCAAAATATTTGTATATTTGTTGCTTTTTTTTTTTTTTCCAAAACTGAATCCATTAAATGACATTTTGCATTTGGTTGTTAAATCTCTTAAATCTTTTTTAAATCTAGGCCAGAAGTTCTTACGGTAGGAATCCATGGATACAATTCAAAAGTAAAAAATTATGTCTTTATTTTCACCACATTCAAAGTGAAATTTAGCCTGTCCTTTCATTAAAAATGAAAGAAACAAACTACAACAATATCAGCAACACCTTTGGCTTTGCCACAATATAAACCAGATGTTTTCGTGTCACACGACAGTTCTTGTGTATATCTCCAAGCTGTCATTTACATTCATCATGATTTTGAAATTACTGTGCTTATTAGACCTGCTGCTAGATCTTGTTATTTAATGCATTAGAAATGAAGCATGTACATTACCATATTTTAAGATATTTTGATAACTTTATTTCAGTAGAATTGTTTTCCTTTATCATCCTATGTGTTTTTGTTTTGTACATTTGAAATCATTCTGAAAAGAGCTCGATGACCTCACCAGACTGCTGCAGGGTGGGAAGGGGCCCCCTGCACAAAACAGTCCACCCACATACACACTTTATTTTTAAAGGTATTAGTGCGTGTTCATGACATTTGCTTTCTGAAGAACCTGAGCCTTTTTGAATGTCTGACGTTCTGGATTTGTCTGATTGTTTACTCACGACCTTACTTAACTCACGTCTCTTCTCCTTATACTTTCCATAAGCTTAAAGTTAGGTCTAAAGCCTTGATTAGATCTAAGTTGAGTGTTTTTGACAAGAATATCTTATAGGTGATGCTATGTACTTCTCATCTGGGTCACATCAGGAGACTCAGGATGTCTGTGCATCTCATCAGTGATGCTAAATCTGATCACTGGGCTAAGGAGGTTAGACAATTTTGTTTTTGCATAATCAAATAGTATTTAAATTTATGGAGATTTAAACATACATACAAAAGTGGAGGGGGTACTACGATGATGTATGCATCACTCAGCCTCTACAGTTATTAATCTTGTTTCGCTGCTACCGACCATTCCTCTCTCCACCAAAATCCGTAACACAAATCCCAGATATGAGATCTATTTCCATCATAAACAAGTGAGTACACATCTCTTTTTTATTTTTTTTTCTTTCTCCAAATTTTTATTTAAATTCCAGTTAGTTAACATACAGTGTAATATTAGTTTCAGGAATAGAATTCAGTGATTCATCACTTATTTACAACACCCAGTGCTCACCACAAGTGATTCATCACTTATTTATAACACACAGTGCTCTTTTTTAAAATACAATACTGTTATTACATTTAAAAATAAATAACTTCTTAGTATCTTCAAGTATCCAGTCAGCAAATAGATTCTCCAGATTGTGGTCATACATGTGTTTTTACGAGTGGTTGGTTCAAATCAGGATCCAGACACAGTTCACTCATTTCTTTGCATTTCATTTGTAAGTTATCTCTCTCTTTTTCTTGCCCTTTGCTTGTTAAAGAAACTGAACCACAGAGAATTAGCGCACTTTCTTAAAATGAATCATTAATAGAATAATTGAATGCCAAGTCTTGTAATACGAGTTCCATGGGAGAGTAAAGTGTGTTTGATTTGGCATATCTTTGAATATATTCTTTTAGCAAAAATAGTAATCAATCATCAGTCAACATAATAAATCACCAGCCAGCAACAAGAAAAAAACATCCTTTGAGATCAAGCTCATTTTTAAATGTTACTTCTGATGGAACTGTGACCCTAACTCCCTCCCTGGAGCTGAACGTTTGCATCCAATCAAACCATCGCTTTTCCTAACGCTTTTAAAATGAAATGAAATGAGATGAATGGTAATTACTTAATACAGAGCATTCAAAAATAAATTTTAAATCAAAATCACCTCCTAATAGAATGCTGATTAAATTAGTGTCCTGGGGCTACCATCACAAGGTGCCACGAGTGGGTGGCTTAACAACAGGAATTTACTGTCTCACAGTTCTGGAAGCCAGAAGTCTGAGATCAGGGTGTGGACAGGGCTGCTTCCTCTTGAGCCCGGTAGGGAGAACCTGCTCGGGGACTCTCCTAGTTCTACTGATAATGCTTGGCATCCCTGCCTAGTGGAAACACTCCACCCTCTGCCTACATCCTCACATGGCCTTCTCTCTTGTGTCCAAAATGTGCATTTCTGGGTGTGTGTCTGTGTCCAAATTCCCTCTTTTTATAAAGACACCAGTCGTACTGGGTTGAGAGCCCTTTCTACTCCAGTATGAACTCATTTTGATTCATTACATCTACAAAACCCCTATTTCCAAATAAAGCTGTCTTCTGGGGTACTGGGGATTAGGGCTTCAACACATGCATCTTATGGGAGTGCAATTCAACCCATAACACAGTGTTCAATTTAAAATGGATGCATGGGGGTGCCTGGGTGGCTCAGTCGGTTAAGCATCTGCCTTCGGCTCAGGTCATGGTCCCAGGGTCCTGGGATTGAGCCCCGCATCGCATCGGACTCCCTGCTCAGTGGGGAGTCTGCTTCTCCCTCTTCCTCTGCCTGCCGCTCTCCCTGCTTGTGCTCACTCTCTCTCTGTCAAATAAATAAAATCTTTAATAAATAAATAAATAAATAAATAAATAAATAAATAAATAAATAAATAAATAAAATAGATGCATGATGAATACTTCTGAGGAAAAGAGTGTACTTACGGTGATGAGCGCTGGGTAATGTCCAGAATTACTGAATCACTGTGCGGTACACCTGAAATTAATATAACACTGTATGTTAACTATACTGGAATGAAAAATCAATAAATCAATAGCTGGGTGATATCTTCATTGACTTCTTGTCAATTTACCAGTTTACCTCTTCTCTGACGGATGGGATTTTTGCCTTTTGAAAAATTCTACATCACCCGCATCACCTAAAGATTTTTTAACTACTGTAATAATAGAGGTATTTAGCGATCTTCATTTCTGATGCTGAAATTTTCCGTGTGTTTCTTCCAGAGTCTGACATTGTATCTTGAATTGATGATAACAGCATCCGGTGGCTGTGGAGAATGTCTGGGAGTTGCTAGGAAGGATGGAAAGTATCTAAGATAAAACATTTGCAGTTGTCAACATAAAAGCCA